GAATCTAAACATTATGATGACTATTAGAGATGGCCCAATGCTACGGACTAAACTCAAGGACGCTCACCGGCATATCATGCTTGCAAACCATCCGGATCGAGGCGGTTCGCCCTACCTAGCGAGTAAAATCAACGAGGCGAAGGATTTGCTTGACAAGACTGACGGAGGCAGGGGGAGATGAGATGAGTGCGGCTTTGGTGAGTCTTCGTGAATACCCTGTTTGTTTAACCAGAGAAACTGACGACGGTTCAGTTTTCATTACAACTGTATCATTACCATTCTATGACCATATAATTCTCTCACTGCATTACTACCCCACTCTATCCTTGCTATCACTGTGTCATCTTAATTCCTGTATACGTGGAAGACTGCAATGCCAAATCACTCGAATTTCTTGTGTACCTCCAACTCTTTGACTCTCATCGCCTCTTTCCATTTATTTCTGCCGTGAAATATCTCCAACAAGCTCCACAGAGAGCTGCTGTTTTATGCGCGCGTGCTTTCTCCGTAGCGTTCAATGTGGGGGTTTCTTAGGTATTCATAAGGTGAAGCCTACGCTGATGACTAAGCTGTAATTATCTTATGGACTCACTACAACCCTCAAAACTCGGTACGAAAGAACAGTACGTCCCATTGTTTTGGTTGTACCTTCGGGCTCGATCTAGCATGCATCCAGTTGGGACGGTGTTTACGCCGAGGAGCTAGACAACTTCGAGGAGATTGGTGATGAAGGGGAGATCTGGTAAGGCCTTCGCTTATGAACGTGTTCTGCTTCGACTCACGTTAACAGGTTTGGAGAAGAGAGCGTGGAAAGGATGGTTGAATGGGCGGTGGAGAATGCCCCTTCGTCGTCGATGCCTTCAACAGTCGAGATCGGTAGTGGAAACGGAACTCTACTCTTCGCTTTAGCCGAGGCTGGCTATGCTACCTCCCATCTCTGCGGGATAGATTATAGCGCTGGGGCCGTAAAACTTGCTAAATCGATTGCTGTGACGCGCGAAAAGGATGTGACTTTTGACACCTGCGATTTTCTTCAGGACGATCCCCCACTGCTACCTCATATGACACCAAAACCAGATGGCGTTTGGGATCTTGTACTAGACAAAGGAACATTCGACGCGATCGCGCTTGGAGAAAAAGACGAGAACGGGAACTCACCTGCAGCGAAATACCCTGGACGCGTCGCGCAGATACTCAAACCAGGAGGATGCTTTTTGATCACTTGTATGTTATTGGTCATGTCGGAGTCGCGTGGACTCATGGTTGCCCGTGTAGCATGCAATTTCACAGATCAGGAGTTACAGGCTATATTCTCTACTCGGGAGACACGCTTCATGTATCAGTACGTGTCATATTCTGAAATCAGTGGCCGATATCTGACACATAGTAGCTCGCGGATAGAACACCCGACATTTGAATTTGGAGGCAAGAAAGGAAGCATCGTTGCAAGTGTTGCGTTTCAAAAAATCGGATTGACATAAGTCATGGTCAAACTGTTGCACCTGCTGGTGCATTTTATAGGAGCTTTTCGACGGCATCTGTACTGTGATATATGTTGCTTGCACCTAAACGTAAGTGTGAAGGAAGTTGCTTCATTCACGAAAGATATGTGACCCTCAACTATCATTTGGCTATTGCAATCTTCCTAATACTTTAGTGGTCTAAGCATTGTAAATTCAATCGAAGTCATGTCCCCCATCCCGAGTGAATAAACGGTATGACAAGCGCAATGCTACTCCACGACTTAAAGGCCCGGTACTATATCGACCCCTGTCCGCAGAGTGTCCTTCGCCAGTCCACCAGCCCACTTGATTAACTTCCCCAACTCGTCCCCATCGTTGGACACATCGCGGAACATCTCCGATAGGAAATACACCAGGCCTATGGCGAGGGTTTGTATTCGTGTAGCCTTGATGAAGATCTCTTCAATAGCGCCACGGTTTCGTGTAGTGGGGATGTCTCTGGGGTTCGACGTCATCATGGGAGTCGTCCTTTGGCTGCAGATGAAGATTTGAACTAGCATCTCTCGGAGGAACTCCGTAGTTGTCTTCTTCAATGAGGTAAAGTCGACGGGCTAAATAATGGTTAGAAAGCCGGTTAACCAGTCGAAACATTAATGACTACCTTGAGAATAGCAAGAGTCACGCAGTCCTTTGCTATCCACCATCCATATGCTCGGGCGACATTGCGCATCCTCGTGGGTGATATGCTCTTGATGTCGAATCCATCATCATCTGTGAGATTTTTGATGAGCTCAGCTCCGCCAACCGAGGTCTCTCCGAGGTCGCGTAAAAAGTCCCATAATGAAAATTGCAGTGTGATTTTGTAAGAGTGTGAAGTACGACAGAGCTGCTGGCAGACGAGAGTGTAATAGGGATTGTATGATTTCTCCTACAAAAGAAGTCAGGACATTATACGATGGAAACAAGACAAGCGGATGATTACATTCCCACAACAGTGCAGCAGGACCCGCACTATTTCTCGTTGCTGGACTTCGGTGAGATTGAGCTGCGATAATCGCTCGCATGCATCAACATAATCCTGGATAAAGGTTTTCAGTATGAGCAAAAAAAGTACGAGGCAAAAGAAACTGACATCGCTGCTCATGAGCACAACGAAGATGCTCCGGCGTATATCGGTGTTCATGCCTTGCTTCCGAGCAAGCTTGACGAGGTCACCAGCAGGATCAGCAGCCTCTGCCACCTTGACAGCTTTGACCTCTGCTTGGCGATCGACAAGAGGATCGCCACCCCATGCAGCGCCAACGAGCCACCATTTCCCTTTCGTTCCAGCGGAGTGTAAATCCTCAAGTGAAACTCGCAAAGGTTCGTGCGCAAGGACTTGGGGCGCGTTAACTCAGAAACTGTCAAGGATACCATGGGTATGACTTACCAGTTCGATTTTTGCTTAGATTTGAAAGGAACTTCTTCATTCGCTCAACTGAATCCGCTCCCTGATTCTGAGCCGCGTTCCGTTTGGACTTGTTGTTCTTGAGATTGGTGAGTGTTTCAATCATGAAGCGAGTCCTCGAGCTGAAACACAAAGGTTAATTATCATTTACGCCGTTAGAATAATTATCTAGGCATATTGCCCATACCTCAAAGCAGCATCGTCCTTTTCCGAAACCTTGCTCTGGACAATTTGTATGATGTCTTTCAACGCTGAAGGATCGTCTTGTCGTAATTGCTGGCCGGAGTCTGCAATTCCGTAAGTTTCGTGCCAAGCAACAGTCAAATCACGCACTTCGAACAATCTTGAGAAGGAGTTCTACACCAAACTCGCCGAGCCCTGCATTCAAAAGCCCGTGGATGATGTCAAAGACCAAGACGGAGGAAATGACTTGGAAGTTGTAAAGTTCCGAAAGTAGAACGATTAGATTGGAGCATTCTTTGCCTCCGTCTTCTTCGGTGCCCTTCTGGGACGCTGCGAAATGACGTTCATAGAGGGATACCACATTTTGAATGAAGTACGCCGCTACAGACATGTTTAGTTTGTAGAGAGGTACGTCAACAAGTACACATACCAAATTCAATACCGACAATTTTGTGCAGACTGGAAACAAATGCTGCGTAGAGGACGACATAAGAGTCCAAAAGAGACGAGTGAGAGGCGATTCCATCGATGACTAGAGTTGTTAAGCTCGTAGTGACATCTATGTTCGTAATTAGCATCGCAAAAAGCATGTGCATCAAGAGCGGGCCTCACCGTTTCGGCGGTTCTCTCTATATATTCCCTCGATACTGTCCAAGATTGTGCCCATGTTCTGTTCGCTCATTCTAGCAAAGCCTTAGTGCGAGTTCTGTAGAGATATTGAACTGCCTACCGATTGAGAAGACCTTTGAGTTGTCTAGAAAGTCTGATCATGGACTCAGAGGGTTTCACGTCGACAGGCTCCTTGTTTCTCAGATGAGGAGGAACGTATCGGGTCGCTATAGTGTGGTAGACGGCTGAGCATAACCTCTGGTTGACATGGACAAGACTGACCATTTTCTTGGGCTAGGGGTAATAGTTCTGCAGTCTCTGATCCCTCTTCCTCAGCGTCGTCCGACTCGTTGTCCAGTCCGTGCCATTCATCATCCTCATCCTCATCATTCTCTGAGCCCAACTCTGATCCACTTTCCTCGGACTGCATGTCTTTTTCACTCATCTCATCGTCTAAACCGTCGTCCATTTCCTCGTCTTCATCTTCGCCCTAGTATTTGTTAGATACCGAATTATCGAGCAATGAATACTACCCACCTGAGGGTCGACGAGCGTGTCCGCGAAGTCCAGAAGGTCTAAGGGATCATGGATTCAAGGTTATTTGTAGACCAGAAGTTTGGATTATTTCACTTACCATCTAGACCGTCATCTTCTGTAGACTTTTTCCGTTTGGCACCCTTGGCGTAACCAAGTTTTGCCTCAAGGTACGCAATATATGAGTCGTCTTCGTCTGCTTTTCGATCTGGTATCCGCGGGGCAGACTTGGTCACCATTTTTTCTAGCGGTGTCTTCTTTTTTACCGTTGGTGCTTTAGTGCTGGGTGCAGGCTTGGCTGCAGCATTGGGAGGGTCGCGCTTAGCCTCAGGAGTAGGCTTCACCACCGTAGCACTGGGCGGTTCGTGCTTGGCCTTTTTTCGTTGTGGCGAGTCGTCATGATCGTCCTCCGCACGGCGTTTATTGTGTGCTTGGCCAGCAGAGAAGTATTTTGCCTTTTTTTTTTTGCGGTTCTGACGTTCCTCTTTACGTGCCTCCTTGCGAGAAACCTTGGGTCTTGGGGTGTATCTCGTCCGCGGGTGATCGTTGCCTGATACTGGATCGTTCTAAGTCTGATGACACCTGTATGTTTACGCACCTGAGGCTCCGATGAGTTCTTCTTGCAGCGTCTGAGGAAGACGCGTCGTCGATGTCTTTTGCCGTGGAGGCATGATTTAGAGGAAAGTCGCCGGGCCGGTCAAATAATTTAGGCAAGCCTTCGTGAAAGTCGTCTCTTGACGCAATCAGGTCGACCGATCGTAACTGCATTGATAGTGTAGCGGTTATCATCGAGTCTTCCCATGTAGCGTGCAGTATTTCTGCAAGCATACGGGATCTGGCTTGGACCCGGGTTCGACTCCCGGTCAATGCATCTAGCATCAAAGCGATCTTTTTACCCCCAATTTATGTATGCTGTAATTTCTCGGTCTAAACCAAGTCAGAACACTCTTTTGCCCCTTCCCAAACACGCCTAATAGATGCTGGCAAGGTCAAGGCCGCACACGCTTCTCATGGCACCGTCTCATTTGGTCCAGGACAGCAGAATATTGAACTAGATATGTATTCAATTTCGGTACATACTATCCAGTGATAAGATATCATTCACACTCGATGAGCGTGGATAGATGCCTTCAACATATCTGCCAGTTTCTCTCCCATAGCGTAACACGCACCAGCCTATATATCCCATTGATATTAGTGATCATATCAAAGGAAGGTGTAGAATGAGGTTACCGTATGCCCAGAGATGATCCAAGGAAAGATTGAGGTATCACAGACCCGCAAACCTTGAATTCCGTATACCTTGAGCTGAGAATCAACGACACCATTCATCTCTTGCGGGGCCATTCGACAGGTGCTCGTAGGGTGATAGACCGTTTCCACGCGCTCCTTAACAAGCTCCAAAAGCTCCTCGTCGGATTTGAGGTGTGTCCCGTGGTCAAGGTCGGGGCGGCGGAAGTCCTGGTCGAGATATCCGGCCAAAGGTTCGGTTTGTGCGATCTTGAGAAGGAGGCGCACTCCACGCATCAACTTGGCAGCATCTTCTGGTGCCTTGAGGTAGCTAAGGAGATACACATGAACGAGAAGATCTCAGGACAATCTCAGGAGGACCGACTTACTTGGGATTGACAGTGGGGAGATCGAACGGATTGGAAGAGCGGAGGAGGACGGCACCAGTGCTCAGAGGTCTAGTATTGTCAACATCAAAGGCTGAGCGTACGAGATCAACAGCAGCCCTCACCTCACAAGATACACATGAAGGGCGTATGTATGGACGTCGAATCCAATCTTTCCGTGCTCCTGAAAGTCAAAGTTAATTGGTATGCACGGGAAACTCCACAGGAACAGAAAGGACCTTGTAAGCCAGCGGAGTCGAGAACAATTCTAGATCAGGTGCGCCAGGACCAGATGTGCTATCCGACAGGACATCGGGATATTTGTCTTTGGGAAAGAGGACGGGGTCATCTGATCGAATGAAGGCAGCGGATTCGCCCCACTGATGTCCTCAGCATGCCAACAAAAGGATCGGACAATTAACACTCACGTTGGTCGCTAGGGGCCCTCCTTGACCAAAGATGTAGTATTGCGCAAGCACGCCGATAATCTTGCAGACATCGAGGAAGCCTCGAGGGCGCAAGTATTTCAGGGAACGGTCGTGTTTGTCTTTGAAATAGAGGTCGACAACAGGATGGTCCACGAGATTAGAACCGACACCAGGGAGATCGTGCACGATGGATATGCCGTGAGATTTCAACTCCTCGGCAGGGCCTACTCCGGACAATTTAAGGAGCTAAACAACAGAGTTAGTAAAGCTGGAAGATGCGGACATAAAACCTACGTGGGGAGACTGCACGGCACCAGCACTAGGAGTACTGTTGTGAGTTTGGATGGGAATAGTAGGGAGTCCTTATGCGCACCAAATGATAACTTCCTTACGGGCAAGAATACGATATCGAACACCAGTGGGCGAATTGGTAACCTGAACACCAATGGCGCGTTTTTCGCCATTCTCCGTCTTGAAGAGCACGCGCGTAACGTGGGCATTGACCGCTACAGTGAGATTCTTGCGCGCCAACACGTCCTTGGTAAGGTAGGCAGATTCTGACGACACTCGCTGTCTCTTCTCGTCAATGTAGGTCACTTGAATAGAGCCAGGGTGTCAAGATTGGGAGGTTTGGGCAATTAGAGGTAGCTTACTGATCTGGGCTCTATGATTAGACGGAACAGCGGAAAGATATGATAACTTTGACTCACTCGGCTCACTCCCAACGTGCCGCTTGATACATTGAAGTCAGGGGTAAAAGGAATGCCAACGCTGCTACAAGCCTTGATAAAAGCTTTTGACGGGTTCGTTACCGTATTGTAATAGCCAATTCGAATGGGGCCCGAAGATCCACGAACGCTTGCATCGACAAGAGGATAGTCGGGATGAGGTTGGTATTTCTCGAACTTCGTAAAGTACCTGCCAGGCTGTCAGCGGAAACGTTGAACCCAGTGAGGAAATAAATACGGGGAGAAGTTCTTCCAAGACCAAGAATCATCGTTCATTAAAGTAGCCCACTGATCAAAGTCCTCCGGCGCGCCATATTGAGCCCTGTGCGAGGGTAAATTGGGATTTCAGTAGGAAGAGGAAAGATAAAAGCACATTTGGGCATTGATTGAAGAGCCTATGGGAATTTATTAAGGCGATGGAAACACAGAAAAAAGAGAAAAACGTACATCCACCCAGCAGTTTCGCTGTTGATCAAGTCACTGGGATTAACAACCATGACGCGTAGCAACATCCACGAGTACTTACCTCTGGGCCAGAACTGCGTTCGGCCATTGGCATGTGATTGTGGTTCTGTTCGAAGTTGGAGGACGTGCTTGGTCGGGAATAGTTTGGCGAAGAGAGCGGGAGTTCGGCTGGCGTCGAGGGGAGTACCACTGCGTATACAAAGGTCACTTGCTTGAGCATGACGCAACGGCGCACAAGACGGACCTCTCGCCAGCCTCTAACAAGAGCACTTTGATTGTAGGGTCTTCACTCAACCTCGCCGCCAACGCGCATCCCGCTGTCCCTGTAGTAGGCAAGCTCAGGTAAGCCAATGAAAACGCAACATGATTCGTACCTCCTCCGACAATGATCACGTCGTACTGTGTGCCACCTACATGAGCGAGGTTGGACACGTACTTGGCGCTGTGTTTCTTAGCATAGAGGAAGCGAAGAACGATGACGAGAGCAGCAAGTCCTCCGGAACCGAGAAACAGGTGCGCACGTGGCGTGAGCTTGATCTTCTCAAGAAGGGCCATGAAATACGAGAGGTCCGGAATGGCCATGATGGGCATGAAGTGACAAGGCAAACGCCACTGTTTGTTCTTCTTAATTTATTACAAGTAAGTGATGTGGGGGAAGTTCAAGGAGACAGGAACAAGACATCGTCAGCTGATGATGCATTCGAATGTCAGTCGCGTCTTGACATAGACACCACTCCCATGTGATTCAGGCCTTCTTCAAAGTCTCCATTATCAACGTCAACCTGGGAGAGAACGCATAAAAAAGGGCGCAAAACACAGTCATCGAGAGTTGCACACCATACGCCTACATACACGTCGACCTTGTCGCACCGAGGTGTGAAGATTATCTTGATGGAAGTGTTCTACACCGCGCAACCGTGTCAATTGCGCCTACTATTAATGAAAGAAACCAAAACATATGAGCAAAACTTTTGGAGAAAACCCTGCCCAGCGGCAAGGACAAGTGTGGCTGTGCCCGATTCTTGCACGTCATGTGGATCGAAGAAGGTAACCAGCCCAGCCTTGTTCACTCGATCATTATAACTCTCTTCCACTACCCGCACGACCTACATTTATATTCGCCCGCGCTGGCAAGCTTACCTTCAAAGCGCAGATTTCTCTTCTTCCGCTCGAATCCAAAGGCTTCGTCAAGTATTTCCTCCAGTCTTCAGCACAGCAACCCCGGCCCAAGTTCCATGGAGCCCAACACTGCATCGGCTGCACCCAAGCCCACTCTGAAGGGATGGCTAACTAACTTGAATTTTGCCCAGAAGGTCAAGAAAGAAACCGAATGGAGGCCAGGTGGGAGACAAGCGTCGCGGTTTCGACGCAGGACTCATGCCCTATGATTAGATGACGCTTTTCCGGACGGCCCTGTATTTGGCGTACCTCTTAGAGAGAGTCTAAAGCATGCGAGCGTACAAATATCGACCGCTAGCGCGCTGGGGGATCTCTATGTTTGGGGAACTGTTCCTGTGGTGGTTGCTAAATGGTGTGTGGTGTATAAAACTTGACTCGAAGCCCATCTCATCTCAACGTTGCGACAATCAGTGGCTTGTATCTCAAAAACAATGGTTCGTTGTATCAACATGAATAAAAGCGACAATCCTCTGGACTAAGACCTTTCCAGCAACCGAGGTCTCGGGCACGTTCCGTGTCAATGGCTCAAGTAGACGGACACGAGACCTTCAGGCAATCTTTGAACAACCACCAGAAGTGTGTCTTACTACTACCATCTGAGTCAATCTCTTAACCTTTTTTCTTGTCGTGAAGTTCGGCAGGAAACTGAATTGGGCACAAGAGACCTACACCACTCACGATGTTGCCACCGTTTTTCGACGATACCTAACCCACATGCCTGTAGGACATCGATATCTTGATCCCCTTGTTTGTTGACGAACTATTACACAGGAGCCGGTAATACCTTATGACATGTACCACAGTGTGCGTACAGATCTTTTCCCTTTACCTTGCCACTCACATCCAAACCTAGTTTCGTGATGCTTTGGGTATGCAAGCCGGTTTTCTATCAATTTTGACATTGATCTTTGTCTTGTAGAACGGCCAAATTACAACGAAAACAATGTCATCTCAACTTACCAGCAATTAATTAAACAGATGCCTCGGCCAAATCAACACCTTCTGCTATATGTCCTAGATCTTCTCTCGGTATTTGCGCAGAAGTCAGACAAGAACCTAATGACAGCAAGCAGTCGGTCTTCCCTTTGTTCTGCACGTTACTTCCTCTTAATATTCTTCTTTAGATCTCGCTGTAATATTCCGACCGGGCCTTATATCCCATCCACACCACGAAATGTCCCCCAATGAGTTTGAGCTCAGCCAGAATGTATTACAATTCCTTATCGCACATCAAGACCACTTCATGCTGGACATCCCTCCACCCCCGAAAGGCGCCGTCAAGTCGCTAAAACAAAGTATGGAAGATGTAGTGGCTGTCCCCAGCTCTGACGAAGAGTCATCTAATATCGGACCTGGTGGCTGGAAACTTGTGAACAAAAGCAGACCTCCAATGCCACGGCGAAGAACAACGACGAGTAAGGGTAGGTGGCGTTTTATTCATTCTAGCACTCACCC